GGGAGCTGGAGTCAATCAAAGCCTACATCAGGCATGAGGCCTAGATCTGAACAACATGGACAAAATCACAACATCAGTGTCTATGGTGATGTGAAGGTGTTAAAATATGACATAACAGAGAAAAAGAGCAAAAATATTTCCTCTCAAAAATAGAGATTCAATTCAGGCAGGATTAAATAAAAAGAGGGTCCATTTGATCATCCTTTAAATGGCAAAAATACTGCAGAAGTGGAGTTACATTGTGACAAAACAAGTCATTCCACAGAGTTTCTAAACAGATAATGTAATTCTCTGCTGTCGGTGAAAAAGAGTATCTAATTATATCTGTGCAGTTTTTTTTTTTTTTAACAATGATTGAAATTAGGGCTGCACTACTAATCAAATTATTTAAGAAACTGTGGTATGGTTAAGTGCAATGTCAAAATCCCAGAGGTATTAAGAGGTATACTTTTTCTGGTAAAGGTAGAATGTGTGACAGAAAAACATTCAGTTTAAGTGGCAGCTACATACTCTGCAAACATTTAAACGTCATCAATTAAAACATGGCACAGCACTTGTAAAACTCAAATAATCACCATGTATGATATAGTACACGTCTGAACAGGACAACAGACGCACTTGTGTTGTCTTACAACTGAAGCAAACTCTAACCCGGAGCACATTTCTAAGTTTGAGTTCCAAGGCTGTGTTTTATTTCCATTCACTTTTGGTTTCATGGGCAACAAAATGAACACCTACTCCACCAAATCTGCAATTACAGGCCTTAAACAAAGCCTTCTTTTAAAGCTTAATCCCTGACATTAGATATCGGCCAACATGCTTAATTGATCATTTATCCAATTTGACCTGAAGGTGGGTCATTTGCGAGCACAAATACGTATTCAGCTTCACTGAATGCCATGCATAACTAGTGAGAATCACTTTTGAGTTCACTTTTGTTTGTTTAGCATTGGTTACAACATTTAGCTGAAGGCTATGGTTAAGTCTGAGATCACCTTTGCAGATCAGAACACTCAGGTTTGTTTTTTTTTTTTTTAACCCTATAATCAAAACTGCTCCAAAACAATACAACTAGTAGTTTAATATATTGGCAAGCAGTTTTGGTAATAGGCCTGCTCAGGATACATTATGAAAGGTGGAGTTGCCTACAGTTGTAATGCTGCAGAACGAGAAGGGATGAATGATGCTGATGAATTCATAAAATAGTGATAAATATAACAGATGTTCCTCTGTTTTTAGTCATTTTCATCACAGGAAATATTTTTCTCCCAGTGGCACCAGTCATACTGTTACTTCTATAAATTGCAGTAAATGCTTTTCAAGGCGGTCTAATCAGTCCAAACTTCAGATTTTGTCCTTTGCCTCCTATTGTAACAGCCTGACAACACTTGATAGAAATACTTAGGATCTTGTACCTCCCTAAACATTGAAGTGCATTGGTCGAAAAAGGGTCTCATTTTAATAAGCCCTGTTTGTGGAAGGACAGTCCGGAAATTGTCAACAAAAGCCGTTTGCAAACATGCACTCCTGAAATTATCGAAGTCATTTCAGGAGAACTGTTCCGGATATTCTCCTGACCTGGCTGTTCACATATGCACCTATCTCTGTCAGACAGGAGGGGGAGGGGTCTCCTCAGGTAAGATGTGGCTTTTAAAAAAACAATGCGGAAGTAGCAGATGAAGCAACAGAGTCAGCTGTACGATGCTTTAATGAGAATATATGCCTTTACATCAATGCTACGTGTAGTTGGGCGGAATCACACTGTCAATATAAGACGGGAGAAGAACATACTGAGAGACAGAAAAAAGTAATGCAGCCATTTAATTACGAGCATGAGATCGTAGTAGCCGTAAGTATACACTCTACGCAGCATGCAGCAAATACTAGGGGTCTGGCAGGAGGAACTCCAGGTGAAGTCCCAGTGAAGAGTCGGCTGTTTGCGTTCAGACTTACAACTCCTCCTGGAAATATCCAGAGTACTTCTGGAGATTTCTGCAGTGTGAAAACCCTGTAAAGGGCTTATTGATGAGAAGAGTTTTCCTCAAAGTTAACAGAATTCAATTTGCTGAAACTTGTCTGTTGTCTTTTTGACCAATCTGTAACGTTACCTCACCGTGCTTGTGATATAGTCTGCAGAAGAAAAAGTAGGAAGATGTACCGTCCAAGCACAGCACGGGTTCAAGAACAGCAGTTGTAAAAAAAGGTTTGACGCAACGTGACCGAGACCTCTCGCAACCCTTCTTCACAGGTAAGTAAGTTAGCCAGCTAGAAGAGACGAGCCAGGCTAAAGCCAATTAAACGGGCCTAAAGAAACCATCATGTTATAGAGGATCAAACTGGACAGGGATGCTGCTATGATAGGCTGAAATTAATTTCCAAAGTCAGTGTGCCCCGGAAACACTTTGAGAAACCAACCCTTTTGCCAATGCATTGCCGTTAACAGGTTTGCTTTGTGCATGCACTCGCAAAAATCAAACAGTTTTTTTGATAGGCTCATTATTTTAGTTTTGGAATTCAATATAATGTAGCAATAATCCCCTGGAACTCAAAAGCAATAAAGCATATAAGTCATCTAATGGCTTCAACACATCATTTTTAGGGGTTATTTTTCCTTCATAGGTAGCCTTGTTTCTGGAGACATGCTGTACATGACTGTGTGTGTGTTTTCTCTCCTCCTAAAGAGAGTGTTTTGGTAGCTGGAAGAGAACCAGCTGAGGGCAAACAGAAATTTCAGGTGGGGCTTGATCCATAAACAGAAACAAAGCATGTCTTTTTTTTTTTTTTTTTTTTTCCATTCTTTCATCTCTGTATTTGCCAAAACTGTTCACAGAAATCTGCAGCTCTCCAGTTCACTCCAAGGAGAGCTGCTTCATGACTGAGAGCGACTCCCGTGACATGCTTGATAACCGTCAACCCCCTCCGGCCTAATACCTGATCACTTTGTCAGGCTTACAGCGACGCAACAAGCAACGGGACGTTTTAGGGATGCGATTGGATCAGGTCCATAATGAATTCAGGGCCTTAGATCCGTCCCACCTCTTATTTCCCCACGCGGTAATCTGCCTGCGGGAGGATTGGAGAATAATCTGGATAGAAGGAGGGAGAGACAGGGAGGGAAGGAGAGAGAGGGAGAGGGACAATCCTCTCTGCTGTGATTCCCCTTTATATCATCGATTTCTGTGGCACAATAATGTTGAATTTCAGGTTGGTGTTTGGTGTGGTTTTTTTTGTACCACTGGGAAAAACCTGTACTTTGAAACACAAAGCAAAAAAAAACATTTGAGATCATTATGAAATCAAATGAAAAAACTGACAGACAATATAAGTTATCAGGGAGTATTTTTCATAAGAGTTTTGGGATGCAAATAGGCCTTGGTGGTATATCAAAACTATCATTTATCATAAATAAGCTACATCATATCGTGATCATTTCTGGAGCCCGACCAATTAATCGGCCGGCCGATAATATCAGCCGATATAAGATTATCCAAGTATCTGCTAATTTTGTCGCAGATACGCATCAACAGATTACTAGATTTATTCTCCAGTCAAATAGCATTTCATTTGAACATTATTGAATTACACTAGCAGTTCTTTCTCTGGCCGTCACCAGCAGAATGTGCTCTGGATTTAAAAAAGCATTATCACTCTCCAAAGTGTCATGCACGTACATGCACAGTTACTTTCCACTTGAGGGATCATCTTGTCTTACATCTTTTTCCAAAGTGTTTCAGCGATCAACGCTACAAATGTGTATATCTATATCTATCACTACAGATCAAACATAGGTCTAAGAAAAATATCGCACGATATATCGGTATCGGAATTTTTTTCTCTCCCCGATGTCGATATCAGTATCGGCCCCAAAAATCCCATATCGGACAAGCCAGGATGTGCAAGAGGATGCCATTAAGAGGGGTTGTTGTTTGCACCTTTGAAATTACGAGACGATGAAAACGAAACACAAACGAACTCAAGTTAAATTCCCGAGCTTTCTCCTGAGCTTAAGCATTTCATTGTTGTATCAAATAACTTTGGCGATGAATCCACTATAACTAGGTTGTTGCAAACGATATGAGTGTACATTTTCAGTTGCAGCTCTGAACGAACTAAACAACTTTTCTTTAGATTAGTACTATCCTCCAATAGCAACACAGCCTACTTACTGTAAAATGTAACTTTTTTAGCTTGTGCACTCATTACAAGGGAATGGCCTGCAGTGATAAGAGCTGTAGCCAAGGTGACAGCGTGAGAACATATCTGAACGTCTTCACATTGATGTGTCTCATCAGGCTGCATTGACAACGACAGAGCAAACCAGTTCAAAGTGAAGGGGATATGAAGGGGTCTATGCATGCACAGTAGGCCCACATGCAGCTCAACTACGGAGCGTGATATAAATACACATAACAACACAAAGAGCTCTGCAGGTCACTCCTTGAGTCCTTACTCATTGAGAAGGGACAGATCCAAAACAGACATACTCAGGCTGGCTTGCATAACTTCGCTCCTCCGTGTACTGTGACAGTGCAACTTCTCCGAGCTCCATGCTGCCTCAAGGGCTGCTGGGTACGTCAGAATCTACACACACACACACACACACACGGCTGCACGTGAACTCAGCAATGGTATGGCAAACCAGAGGGAGAAAGTGACATTTAAAAGCGTGTACAACCAAACAGACTCCAGGAAAGTCGCAAACTACTGCCTGTAGCTACATTATTTTTTAGAAGGGTGGTGGACGATTACTACTGCGCACTACGGCGAGAAGCTTTTGGAAAGGGAAGAGTTTCCGAGGAGCACCTGAAGGCAGCATTATCCTACACCAGTGCACCGTCGCCGTGATGCGTGCCGTGAGATCACTCATCCAAAATCAGCGTCACTTCACTGCTACAAAGACCACGCCTGTCCGCGCGCTAACTCGGGGCCCTGTGCAAAAACAGCGCGTGGCACCACGCACGTGAGGAAAAACTCAACATTAGTATTTTGACTTGACTCACCGTTAGTTGTCTGTGTTTTTTTTTTTGACAGTTTGTCTGGAGTCTCCGAGCGTCGCTGTCACCGCTACGATCCGCCCACCCGAGTGTGAACTCCTCTGGCCTCAGACTAACATGCTCCTCCCCCCCGGAGAAAACTCTCCTCCAATCAGGGCGCAGTTCTACGGACAAGCACCCACGGGATCCAATGAAATCTAGGCTACGCTCTGAGTGACACGGCTATTGTCCAATCGTATGTTAGACATCCTGGGCAGGCCCTTCGTCGTCACAAGTGTACTTTTGACAGACACCGTGTACATACAATGGAGAACTTTTGACTCCTTTTACGGGACGGGTCCGGTCCAATCGCGCGGGAGGAACGGACTCTGCATACGGACAAGGCCCAGGAAGACGTCCTAAAACCGCCCAGATGACTGGAATGTCACCGGGATGACAGAAGTTAGTTATTATAGAAAATGCATGCTCCTCCAAAAGCCAGGAATTACACTTGTGTTACAGACGGGAATCGTAGTTTAGTCTATATCAGTCTTTAAATGATCAAGTCCTCACCGGATCATTACTTTTTTTAAGCCATTAATGTGCTTCCATGTTGCATTCACTTCCATTACACTTGTTAAAATTAAGTCATTTCGATGGGTTAGACCGAAATCTGAAAACATTTTATCGTTATTAATTATCTAAGGTATTGAGTCTCAGTTGTTCACTTCATCCAACTAAGACGAACCTGAGATAGAAAATCAAAACGAAAGAAAAAAAATTCAAAATGGTTCAACCTTACAGATAAAGGTATAGAGTGACACCTAGTGAAATAAATGCCAAACAGCAGCCTCTTTTGTCTCGATCTTTGTTTTGCCCAATCAGCCTGTTTAGTCTTTCGATCAGTATCTAAATCTCCATTTGTCACCATTCATAACAAACTAACCAACCTTGGGTGACATGTTTGAAACTGGCTGGAGAGAGATCATAAAGGAAACTCACACAATGCACAATTCATTATTCACATATAGGCTATGTCCTGTAAGCTTTTCTCTTATTATTTTTTTTCCTATTTTAGTCATGGTAATGTCGGGCTCTTACAAGCCTAGAAGGAATAATTAGCATCATGGGCCAGAGGGGCTCATTTATGTCATAGATGAATGTGTTAGACAGTTCAAATAGCTCATACAAATGTCAAGCACATTTCGTTTTTCTACCATAGACAGTGGTGTAGTGGTGCCTGAAGAATTAATTTATACCCCAAATGCTGTTTAAAAGTGGCCCGTCCAGCAGAGTACAAACGGCCTGTCTTATAAACAGTGACATGTAAGACTCCTCTGCATATTTAGTCAGTTTGGAGACAGAGTAGGGAGGGTCATTCCTCTAACATCTTGCAGCATATTGTACTATTGAATATTGTCAATCAATCAATTGTGTGAATCAGAGGGGGTTTAGAAATTGGTATACTCTGAATACATGCCTGCACTACATCACTTCTTATAGACGTTTTAAGAGTATTGAGTTATATAGAGTGTTTCAGTTTTAATGCCTCGAGTTTGGTATATCTGACATTGATATCTTGGTCTCCTGGTCGCAATTTCACAAATTAATGCTGAAAATGTTTCTTGAGTTGATAAATTATAAATCAAGAGGGTAAGTGGGTTCATTATCTTACAGACTTTCATACAATCTGTCTTTCTTTTTTGCATCCAGTGGAGTCGCCCCATGCTGGCAATAACAAAGAATGCAGGGATGAGGCACTTTCATTGGCTGAACTTTTCAGACAAGGAGGCTGCGTCCAATTCTTACACAGTATATTACGACCTGACCCTGTAATATAAATGCATAGACCACAATAGAGCCTGAACTCATATTTATTTTCATCGTCTTCACATATTACTCTTTGCAAAGTGTAGATCTTGCCCTTCAGAACTTTAGAATGAGAAATGGTTAAACTGCAAAATCCCTCCAGAAAATGACTTGATGTAATTCAAAGGGTACTGTATGTCTCTGCCCAGAGACTTGTTGTCTGCTAACGGATCCGTTAACACTTTAAAGTGTTTCGGATCCATTTGCAAGACACTGTAAAATGATGTTTTTGTGGGGTTTTCTGTGAAGCATCAGGAGCTGTAGTGTTTTATTATCGTGAGTATTTCTGTCTTGGAATGTTTCTTGGGCCATGTGGAAAATGTTAAAGGGAGGAAGTTGGATACTAGTTGCTGTTGTCATGGTATGAATAAAAGATACATACGTGTATATGTGGGCTATTTATGATGTAGAAAAACAAGTGTTTTTTTCTTCTTTAAAATAGTTTCTCTGAGGACAGAGACCTGGCTTGTTCTTACTTGACCAAATATGAAGTGAAAACAGCTCAACAGATGTGACATTCACTGATGTAAGAGATTCTTTCCAGGGGATTACACAGTCACAGACAGTCCCTCTTAATATCATAATAATAAGTAGCCACATCACGTTTATGCTTTCAAAGAGGTTTATTGAAAGAAATATTTTTTGAAATTTTATAAAGTTCAACCATTGATAATGCTATCACACAATCAGAACCTGGAGTTTCACCATTTCCCTCCAACCTTCTTTAACATTTGATATGAATAATGTATTATGAGCCTTCACAAGCAATCCGGGAGTGCCGAGGTTCAATTATGTGGACTATTTAAAAAAAAAAAAAAAAAAAAAAAAACACTGGTGAGAGTTTTTGGGACTTTACTTAACTTTTCCCAGCTTAAAAGAAAGCATGTTTGTGTCCAAATACTCCACTCAGGTTTGTTGAGAAATAGTCATTCTTTAGAGTGTAGCCAATCAAAGATGGGGCTAATATTGAAGGTGCGTTTGATTTATCTCTGGAGGCAGTGGTGAAAAGACAAACTACATAAGATAAATCAAGTGCTTCTTGGTAATTGGGAGTACTTGAGCCCAGGACTGCCACACATGCATCATTCTGTTACAGTGGTTTGCAATCAAAGATACAAATATACAATATAATATTGTATCATCTAGTATCACAATGTTTGCAGCTATTCAGTATCCCTCCCTTCCATGACCTGGAAGTATTATGTATATATATATATATATATTTGTATATATAAATATGACTCTCCCGTAAGACGGAAGAATTCAGTGTTTCACTCTACACACAGTCTGCAAGCATACAGCAAAAATCAGCTGCTTTGCACGTCAAACCCTCTCATTGCTGGATGATTTTCAGTGCAGCATGCAAGTAAAAATGTGCACAATATTAAAAGTCTTTAGCTTCATCATCCAAATCACATTAAGTCATCCTCATCATCATCATCATCATCATCATATCCATTTTCACCATGGACACTCTTCATTTTTTTTGTTCCGTAAGGTGATCGTTTCCATAAGAAATTAGAGCAGACTTTATTTATTTTATATATTTTCCTCTATAGTATTCTGCATTTCAAAGCATGCCAAAGAAATTTTTCAGTTTCTGCATAGTGCTGGCTATACGAGTGCCAAAGAGTTTGATTCCTTTACAAGTAGTAGAAGTTGGTATGTACAGGCGAGTGACAGAGCACATCCAGTGTTGTGGTACCAAACCCCCCTAAACACCCCCCCCCACCCCCCCTCACCCAAGTGCTCAAAATATCTACCAAATACAGGACCCAAGTCTGTCAGAACTCATAGAAAGTTGTACAGAGCTGAAAAAAAGCTCAGCATTATGGAAGAGATATTAAGGAAAGTGTGTGTGTGTGTGTGTGTGTGTGTGTGTGTGTGTGTGTGTGTGTGTGTGTGTGTGTGTGTGTGTGTGTGTGTGTGCGCGCGCGTGCAGGTCTGGCTGCAAGCAAAGTGTCTGTGTCTATATGTGTGTGTTCATATTAAAAGGGGGAAAACACTCCAACCTCCTTAGGTCCCCCATACCCCACCCACATGGATATATTTTTTTTCAAAGTGCACCCTCTACTGTAATAATATGCAGTATGCATTACATAAATGTATTCTCTAGCATGGAATATTCCACTAAGTTCTACTGACACGTACAAGGTCAAAAAAGAAGAGTCGACAACGAGCACATTCTAGTTTTGAGGTCATAGTTCTGAATGTAAAGATACAGTTCAGGCCACTAGGTGACTGTTATTGAACGCTAACAACACTCTCGCTACAGAAGGTGAGATGACAAGGAGAGCCCACTTCTGAAGATCAGTACCTTCACACTGGAAAAAATAAATCATAAAGAGCTTCATTGAACTCCAAATTTATGGGGTATTTGTAGTCAAAGTTGAGATATTATCCTTGTGACCAGAGGCAGGGACTGCTGGTGAAAACTACAACATATCTTATGTCGATGGCTGTGTAAAGCAAAACCAAATAACATACTAATACAAGCAGTATAAAGAACTCAGTAGATATGGTCAGTGCCAGCTTTCCCTGCATTTGACAGCCGTGAATGAGTGACTTCTCTCACATAAGGGGTTTGCAGTTTTTTTGTACCAAGCTGTGATTCAGTAGCCTGTTTACTCAACGTTCATGTTAAAGTTGCAGGAATCTGTTTTTTTTTTTTTTTTTTTTTTAAGTGATCAAACCATCATCACTTTTATAATAATTATCTAACTTGAAGAGGACCATGTATGTAAAATGATATTAGTTCCAGGAATAAAAGCTAAGCTCTCGGGTACAGCTAATAGGCATCCTAACAAATAAAGAAATATTAGTTCCAGGTGGTGTTGTAGTACCAAGACCGGTCTCGAGACCACTTTTTGAAGGTCTCTTATCTCGTCTCGGAATTGAAAGCATTTTGACTCGGTCTTGTCTCTGCCTCAGACTGGGCGGACTCTGGATTTCAAATCAAGATCAGTCAAGACCACGTCTGACAGGCTATTTTAACCACATCATTACTGTGCAACCTTCCTGGTGTTACAGTGAGTGACACTCCTGCTGCACACAAGATGATGATTTTTCAGTGATATTTATGGTCTCAATCTCACCCTGCATTGGTCTCGATCCCTTAATATCTTGGTCTTGTCTGGGTCTTGGAGCACTCTGGTCTCTTGTATGTCTTGGTTAGTATGGTCTGGACTACAACACTATAGATCTAGGTGTACAAAAAGTGAAAAGGAAGACTTTGTTTTTGTATGTAAATTCAAATTTTCTGCAGAATCTTTTTTTTTTTCCACACCTGGCACTATAACTTAATGTTGAACTTCCTTCCTGAATTCTCTCCCCTTGAAATGCTTAAAAAACTTCCTTTTCACAGTTCCGTTTCCCCCTCATGCCTGGCCCTAATACTCATCGTGATAACCAGTGGAAAAAGTCACTGCAGAATATCTTTGGTTGAACTTTTAAAATCACATGAAGTCCAGCTACATTTGCAACTCATAAAGACAACCTTTCAGCAACTTCAGAAACATTCATCTTTTTTTTTTTTTTTTTAACTTAACGGGAGCTGAATCAAATGTGAGTTTAAAATGTCACCAGTGATTATTAGCGGCAGAATTCATTTGCTTTGGTTGCTAGTCAAAGCGTCAACCGCACACCCGATGACAAGTGAGAGAACTGGAGAAACAGTGTGCCTGGCATATGTGTGTATATGGTGGCTGTGTGAATTAATATGTCTCATATTATTATTAATTATGACAATAATGTGTACCACTCGCCAAGTGTGTCGTCCCTTAAATAATGAATAAATAACAAAAAGGGTTGAATGAGAGTACAAGTCAGGGTTTGGAACAAAAGAGCACATTGACATTGGAAACATGTTTACACTCAAATCCTTCACTTGCTCCATCTAACGAGCTGATCATTAACCCAAACACAAAATAATAAATCATAACAGGTCAAATCCACAGACAAACAGTAATAATCCTAGAGCAATAAATAAATACAGTAGCTCAAACTAGCAAGCAGCAAAATACAATCTTCATAAGTCTGCGTTAAAGGGGCATCCGGACAGAGTTTTACAATGTGACTCTGTAAATGTAAATTCCTTCAGTGTTCTCATCCTTCATTTTGATTGGTTGGTTTTTCTGAGTTCTAAAAAAAAAAGGAGAAAAACACAAAAGAACCCTCTAACATCAACGACACGTTCCTGAGTCTTTATTAAACATCTGCACTGTTTAAGAAATAAAGTGCTAAAAAAATAACGGAGGCTGCTACAAGCTGGGACTGCTTCAAAGAATATTGCACTTCAACATGTTCTCCCTCCTCTGGTACCAATCTCCATGTAATGCGCCTCAAGAAGAGAGTACGTCTGTATCGTTTAGTATCAAGGAAGACAGTGTTAAATGGTAGGTTTTAATTGTCTCTTCTCCTCATGATTCTCACATTTAAAGTCCGATAAAAGTGGAAGATTGTGCAGAAAATGTCCCGGTTGCAACAAAACTAAATCAGTAGGATATCAGTAAAGTTTCACTGTAAGGGGGGGGGGGCTTCATTACACCTGCTCTTTTTATTTCACACATATCTTTCTACCCTGAGGTACCCCGACTCCACCCTTACACCGCCTCAATAGTGGACTACACCATGTTCCTCTCCATCACCACTATATGAAATGTCTGTTACTCCATTGTACATGCCCGTGGGGAAATACAGTTACTTTCTGTTTAAACGATGGTAAGGGGACGTTTTATTTTCAAACAACTGGCGTTACTTGAATGACCTCTTGGGTATTAAAAAATGTCTATATTGTAAAGGACATTTTTGTGCTGTCTAGAGTAAAAACACAAACACTCAAATCAGTTTTTTTGTCTGGTTAAAATGTACATAAAAATTTAGTTTGGAGCGAAGAACAGACAGTTGTTTTAACTATCAGAATCCAGTGGAGCTCTACAGCGTGTGTGGAAGCAAACAAAACCTAACGCCATGCTCAGCGGACTGAAAGGCAAAAATGAAAAACAAACGCAGTAAACAAGGACAAACACACGGAGAGAGAAAAAAAAAAAAAAAGCTTTGGACCTGGACTTATCACAAACTTCATAATATCAAAGCGCACACACTCTTCTTGACAGTGTTTGCATATTGTACCTTACATAGAATAATGGCGCATTCGGCTGGTCGTCGTAAACTGGCAAACTTGAATATTTACGTATGACAAACTGGTACAGTATATATACAAGGTAAAAGCATTGCGGATGCTTGATCTGGTGAACAACATAAGGACCAATGAAATCTGAGGTAGCAAATTCAACTCAACTAGAATCACTCACGTCTTTTTCCAAGTCTTATTCTTACCGAGCGGTGATTTTTAGCAATCAAAGCAGGCGAGGTCCAGAGCCTTTCTGACTTCGTCACATTCAAAACACATCATCTCTGGTTCTCTCCAAGGTCTCACAGCTTGTGGATTGAGAAAGCTGATTTTTCCTGCTTGTTTTGAATATTTGTAATTAGTTCTGCGCGGTGCACTGTTCTCTTGGTAAACTTGTAAGTTTGCCAGTTTACCTGTTCGTGACACTGCCTGAACAAGCCATATGTTCTTTACTCGTTAGCAAATCTGTACAATGTTTCTGATATGTTCATCGAGAAGATTCATGGCTTTTAACCCTCCGGTACCCACCCCTGAGGCGCAAATCAGCCAATCCAGTGTGCTCTAGGGAAAAGGGGGGCGGTGTTTGCTCCGCCTCTTAGGGCAGGACATCAGGGAGGAGGAACCAATAACAGAACGGGACAGCAGGTTTCCTGTTAGGCCAGCTAACACTACAGTTTACCAACCAGTTAGTGAGTTTATCGGAAGCGCTGCGGACATAGAGAATAGAATAATCATTATCATTAGGAATTTCAGTGCAAGACGTAAATGGCTACTTGTTTCGTCATGATTCTGTCCTTTGTTGTCTTTCCTTGTTCACGTCAGTCATCCAAAGCTGGATACAGCAGTAAAGGGATTCTTCTACAGCTCAGCAGTCATTGATGTGTGTGTGTGAAGATCTGTCATCCTCAGCGCACGACTGAAAGGTTCAGACCAGATCCGTGTGGGTGGACCTGGAGTGTGATCATTAAGAAGCAGAGCTTCTCTCTGCTCTGTTTGTGGTTTTGGTTAAAGGTTGTACCATTGTGGAGTTCAGAAAGCTCCAGTTTGTTTTTATGAGGAGGGGGAGGGCTTGTGGAAGAGAGAGACAGAGAGAGAGAGAGAGAGCCCATTCTTTGCCTTGATCCCTCACCCAGGCTTCATGTCCTTTGTTCAGAAGTCAGAGAAGAAGAAGCTTTAGCAGAATGGTTAGAGCAGCAGGGGTCCATAAAGGGTCGTAGGTACAGTAGGTGCTTCTGGATCTCTTGATGAGGAACAGAGGAAACAGGGAAGGCAGCAGAATAAAACATGACTCCGTCCTCTCTCTGTTTCCCTCCCTCCATCCCACTCTCCTCCCCCTTTCCCTCTTCCTTAGCTCCCCCCTGGGTCAGAGCTGTGTCTCTGAGGTGTCCGTGAGTCCAAAGGTGTCTGTGGTTCTTGCAGAGACAGCCTCCTTTGGGTTTCTGGATCCAGAGCAGATACACCTGTTGCAGCAGCAGCTGGCCCGACCCCAGCCCCCTCACACACCCCTGAACCAAAGTCTAACCCTGCTCCTAAGCTCGACCCCACTGCTGCCCCGCTTCCTAGATCTAACGCTAAACCTGAACCTGCTGGTCCTGGAATCACCCCGGTCCCAAGTCCCAGCTCCAGCTCCAGATTCTGCCCCAGGCTGTCCAGTCCAGAGGAGGCGAGCTGGCCCTGGCTGCTGTTGATCAGAGAAGAGTCTTGGGGCTGCAGGGAGTCCAGAGGCTTGGCCGGGAACTCTTCAAAGTCCTGGGAATCCAAAATCTGCAGAGAAAGGGGGCACAGACATCAGACAACGTATGATAGACAACGCCTGTCACTGGTGCTTTTCCTTTTTAATAATCAAACTGGTAAAAAATAGAATGAATGTATATGCAGCACAAGCATGTTTGACTTTTTAAAATATCACAGAAAAATACTTTAATAAGGAGAAATTATTGCTGATAATCAACAAACATACAGTCGTCCTGAGCTTCCATGTGTGTGTGCATTTTATATATATGACGTGTGCTGTACGCTGGTGTCAACATTACATTACAGCCCATGGAGTGTCTAAAGCAGTGTTTTTCTAAGAAGGGGTCCGGACCCCCCCGAGGAGTTGCCAGCGGGTACAAGGGGGTTTGCAGAAGTTGCTTTTTTCCTACGCCAAGCTTTCAACTTCAAAAAAGCCAATAAGAATCTGTTTTAAGCAGGTAACTGTCAGTATAACTGTTGATCACTGTTAAGACATCATAAAGACTTGAATCTAATTAGCCAACATGACACCCCGTGCACGGCTTAACCTTCTCAGGTGTGCACGGTTGCAGGAACATACAATAAAAAATAAATCAATAATCTGCGGCACACTGAAAATGACAGATGCTTTTGTCCAAAGCGTCGTACATCTGAGGATAAAAGTTCAGGGTCCCCTGGTCTGTAGAAGCACCAGAACATAGTTCTACTATGTTATACTACACAACAAAATGAGCTAAGAACAGCTGCATTGTTAATTCAATGTTTTTTTTATGGGTATTAATGCTTCTTGTTTATATTCCCTGCAGACCTATGACAGTATTCTGTACGCTCCCGTTTTCACTTCTCAAATAAATAAATCAACAAAGTGTTGAATGGACAGTAAACACTTTTTCTAATACATGTACAGCACCTGTGACAGAGAGGCCAGCGTGTCTGTCTCCAGAGGTGAAACAGGCTGCACCAGTCTCTCTCCTGTTCCAGGTCCTGGACCAGGACCAGGGTAAGGTGAGGCCTGCAAGAGACAACAACTCATTCATTCCTTTATACCACGGGTCATTCTTTAAAATTCCTGTTGATTGGGCAATTTAGTCAGGCTCTGAGACGGATGTTTTTTGTTGTCAAGACTCAAAAACGTCATGCATCTATGCACATACCCCTGGTGTGTGTGTGTGTGTGTGTGCGTGCATGAGAGAGTATTGTTACCTGAGGTGGTGACGAGACGGCGCTGTAGGCAGGAGGAACCAGGGCCATCTGTCTCTGCAGCAGCTGCATGATGGCTCCAATGTCGGTTGACATGCGATTCTCCAGCCTGCACACAGAGTGTAGTAGATGAATGAACACATAAAGGGGACGTGTATGTTCTATAACTGTGATCCTTTTATACATTCAATTATAACAATGGAGACATTACAATTGCACTAGCTGCTGACCTTGTCTCAGACATTAAGCACTTCACATTTTAAGGAGAATTAAATGATTTTCATCCTCCAGGGTCTAAGTTGTGAATGTCAATCACAGCTAGTGAAGGATTCAGCAGGTTCATCCGTTAGACTCAATAAATTTCATATTGTGAGTCATTAATCACAAAAGAGGTTGGCTTGTTAAATGTCATGGATGAAAAATTGATAAATGTATGTAGTCCTCTTGGTGTTGGAGCCAAATAGTTGCTGTCATAATCTATTGAATATTTTGATTTTGGGGCTGGGGCCAGGGGTGGTGCAGTGGTTAAGAGGAGGTTCCTGGTTCTGATCCTCGTCGGACAGAGAGCGTGTGTTCTCCCCATGCACTGGAAACTGTGTTCGCTCAGTTATGTTTGAAGTGATTATAAATGAATTCTGGCTGGTTGGACTGGAAGGTGCATATTAACACCTCTCCCTCCTCCTCAGGTGACTGCAGCAGCACCTTCGATTTTTTTCAGGTGAGCCATTTGGGCGGGCAATGTTCCCTAAGTGTGCAGCCGCATCGTTTTAGAAAAGAGAAAAGTCCTGTCCCAATGGTTGCTTTCTTTGGTGTATCAAAAACAAATGCATATCATGTAGAACCACCACAGAAGAGGAAAGGATTGCTTTTTACTGTATCTTGGTTTGTGACCTAATTTCTCCAAAGTGTCGAGATGTTCAAAACCGTGATCATGGGGGACTTTAGAAACAAGACAAGACTTGATAGCTTTGTTTGTTTATATCAACTCTATAAAGTCTCCTTTTCTTGCATGAACCACTTAGTAAAGTTATACTTCTGGTATTCTCTACTTCAGTCTCTGTCACTATCTGTTTTCTCTACAAGAGTCAAAGTTTCATTTTATGACATGACTGAACTAAACGCTCTCCTACTGGGTGCTGTTTGAGGCTTGTAAACAGCTAATTAGGACACAATTCTGATGAAGTCTGCGCTGCTCTCTGCAAGATTCTGAAGCCCAGCAGAGACTTTACCATATGTGCAAATATTTTCAGTACTCGAGGAAGGAGTTCTCTCCTTACACACACAATCCAAACCTCCCCACACAGACGCCTTCTGCCTGCTGACACATCCTATCCGGCAGAGGTACCCAGTCAATCATGCGGTAAAACTCTGAGCATCCAGCTGAAGGTGAAGCAAAGACGCACTGTCTGTGATCTCAACAGGATCCGACAAAAAAAAAAGAGCCTCATGCAGCTGAAGGCTACATGTACTGAAAACAAAAAAAGTTTATTTTTTTTTTTTTTAACTCTGATGGAGACAAAAGGCTTCCGTCAGAGGCAGGCAGGCAAAAGAGACAGACTTAAACAGGCAGGCTGTTGTGGCAATGCTTCATATCAGTGACATGAAACAAAACCATGAAATGATGATGGACGCCGGCTTCGCTGTCCCTGCTGCAGGACACAGAGGAAAAGAGCAACCTTCGTTCCCAGGGCTGTCCAGCTCCTCAACTCCTAACCCCCCCCCACAACAGACACCAACACCTCTCACCCAATGCAGACTCTCAGCTGTGAACTTCCTTTATATTGACATGCACCTTAACTGCCTCTGCTTTATCTGGTCTCATGCACTACATCACTTTATTCTATCCCTTTTATATCAGTATTCATACAGTTCTGCTAACTTTATTCCTGTTGTTTCTTATCCATCATTGCACTACGGTCACTTTATTTATCTAATTTTTACCTTTACAGTTATATTGTTTATATTAGTTCTGTTGTTCCATTATTCACCATGCACCTTAATAACTTATCATTTAGTATTTGCCTACTTACACATAGCTCTGTATATATATATATATTTATTTCTCATTTACTGCATATAGTTCTGTTTACATCTGGTCACTACTGCACATAGTACTGTATATATATATTTATTTCTCGTTTACTGCATATAGTTCTGTATATATATATTTATTTCTCGTTTACTGCACATAGTTCTGGTTACATCTGTTTACATCTGTTAGTCCGATCACTGTCCACTTATATCTACTCTTTTATATTTTGTATTTTTAAATGAAGTTTAAGCTTTAAGTTGTATTTAAATTGACACTTTATATTTAGGTTAAAATGTTTTGTTTACTTGCACTGTTGTTAATTTACTGCTCCGTGTGCCTTTGAATTGCCCCCCGGGGACAAATAAAGTTTTTTGAATTGAACTGAATTGAAAGAGCAGTCAGAACCTACACTCCCATGTGCACACACGCAGTAATACCTGTTGAGCTGTTTCTGCAGCAGGTCCAGGCGCGTGTCCAGCTGGTTGCGTTGCTGACGGCTCAGACTGTGCAGCGGCGTGTTGAGGGTCGGGGGTGATGCCAGGCTGCAGCTGGGAACCTCCTGGTACTGACCCGCTCCCCGACTCTCCCCCCAGAAACTAAAGATGTTGGACACACCTGAGAATGCACCTGCAGGGGGGAGAGAGAGAGACACACAGGGAAGAGGAGCATGAGTGACTCACTGGATATGCATTACTGACTGTGCAAATAGATAGGAGGATACTGCTGTGTTTAATTCTACCTGACAGGGCATTGCAGGTGTTCCCAGTCTTTGGGTCCCCATCACCCTCTGTGTTCTCGTTAAAGTTCATGGGCGGGGCCTGAGCGTGAGAATTCTCCAGCACTGGTGGAGGGGCGAGTCTGGCTACTGGCGGCTCCTCCCCCTGAGAGATGTTCGCATCAATATGTTAACACCAGTTGTTATTGAGGCGACAATGGCAAACAAAACCCAGGAGATCTCGGCATAAAATGATGAAAAGCGCAGTTTCACCTCATCACCACTGGAGTGTGAAGACACTGAGCTTCGATGAGGCTCCCACCGACGCTTTGGTGCCTCCTCCTGTTTTTGGTTGTTGCCTGCCTCTCTCTGTCTTCTTCTCACAGACTTGTGGGACTTTTTCACTTCTCCCGCATCTGCATCATCTGCGCGGAAAAAGAGAGAGAGTTTGACGAGGGATCACTTTTAACAGATGACCACTGAGGGAGACTTGCCAAAAACAGAAAACACTTTTTTTTTTATGTGACAGTGAATCAAATGGCTCTTGATGATGAGTTACCCTTTTCTGTACGTCGCCGGAATGATAACTTGCGTCTGCGTAATTTGTTGAATCCCCCACAGTTTGAGTCATCACTGCTTGGAGAGCCCGGGATCATGTTGGTCTGAAATGAGGAGCATGAGATTACCTTTAATAGTACTAATAATAAAATGCACCCGGGGGATACTATTTGTAGTCACTGTGGTAAATAGGGAAGGAAAATGTTGGTTTAGAACATGCCTAGATGGGAGAATGATGAAATCTATACAGTATATATAACTCATTATAATAACAATAGAAAATAAGATCAAACTCACATCTCGGAGGTTGAAGGTGATTTCCAGGTTGCTCCAGAAATTGTCTCCAAACTCAGGATACATGTCGAGCACCTCCAGAACATCTTCTCGGAAGATTTTATGGAGGTCGCAGTAGGTCAGAGCCCTTACATCAGCGTTAGATTTACCCGGCCGGGAATACAGGTTGATGGGCTCGCCGAAAATGTCATTCTTCCCTGTAGAAAGGTGACAAGAGCGAAAATCTTAATGGTTAGAAGAGAGTCGATTTCATGCAGCGGAGGCAGCCAATATTGTAATCATCTTCTCTTTTTTTTCAACAATATCCTGCATTACAATGTATTCTTTTTTATATCTTTAGAGGGTATGCTATTATAATATACTTCTGTGCTACTGTTGACAAATTAGTCCTGAAAGGAAATGTCTGTTATGGGGGACACTTCTAATCTAATACATTTCTTTTGACTGAAATCATGTTACAACGGCCAAAGTAGCTTCAAACTGCATTCAAATTCACTCCCAGGTGATCCTGTGGCAGACACAATATAAATGTTAAGGACCTTATTCCCAAACTATTAAAAACTTAATTGATTCTTATTTGAACTCCAAGTTCGTTCCCCAACTTTATTTATCATAATGTTTTGTATCTCTTTGGGTAAGAAGTGTGAAAGAAAAATGAACTCTGAAATAATTATTAAGAGGGAAAGGTTTTTCTTTTATAACACCATGATGACCCTCTTTCTTGATGACCCTGGTGAAGGCCACAAGCCGAAACGCGTCGGTCTGACTGGTTCAGAAAGTTAGACCATAAAGCTATTTTGACCTCTTCAAGCCCGTCACTCTTCATGCACCATCAAGTATCATCTCACACATGGCAACAAGTCAGATGAAAGCTGAACATGTCTTTTTTATTCTGCTTAATATACACTAGATTATTTTGCGTAACATCTAATCTCACCAGCAGATGGCGCAATCATTCAGATTTGCTATGAGGCAGCTGGACTTGTGCCTGCACACCACCAATGACGGCACCACAACAGTTAGAATTAACTAGAATAAATCAAGCTACTCTGGGGTTTGACTGTACTGGAAATTAATGTGTTTCATTGATTTTATCTCCTGTAATATAAATATATCAAGTGCTTTTAGTTTAGTTTTTCACAACATAAAAAAAATGTTTTTTTTTTCCTGTACCTAAGATAGCCACCACCACGTCTCCTCTCAGTATCTCTATGGATCCCCTCGATATGAAGTAGAGAGCAGTGAGGACGTCTCCGGCGTGGACCAGCGTGTCACCCGGGGGTGCGTGGGTGGTCTTGAACTTCATGGCCAACGCCCTGAGGCATCCCTTAGTGGAGCCTTTAAAAGCCTTGCAGTTCTGCAGCAGGGTCCGGTTCAGATGGAGGCAGATATCTGCCTGGAGACACTCCGGGAAACCCTTCAGCACCTGGGGAGAGGGATCGAGGGGGGAGCAGGGGGAGAGAGGAGGGAGGAGGGGGGGGGGGGGGAGCAGGGAGAGAGAAATAAGGGAAGAGTGAAGGAAAGAAAGAACAAAAGTGGTGAGAAAAAAGTAATAACTCAATTAGGCAAAAGAAGGAGGAGGATATGAATAGATAGGGAAAGGTTGCTTCAGTATCGATACGCAGCTTTTAGCAGCGACAGATACGAGAAGTCCAGGACATTATAATGTCAAATAAATGTCACAGATTATGCACGCTTTCAAAGGACAAATAAAAACTCTCTTTATTGTCTTCATCTTAACGACTGAACTTTTATGAGACATTCGCTTTTTACTGTTATAACACCATTCAACTAATTAACTTCTTACATTTATACAAGTTTTGGATTTCAATTAATTTTTAATGATTTCCACCTAAGTAGAGGAAAAGAATCAGCAGTTTGGCATTCCTACTCTTGAAAGCGCCTGTGTGTGGACTTTCACAGAGTTTCAGTGCAAAAATGATATCAAACTGTATTTCAGAGGCGTCCCGGAACAGAGTCAGCAGGCCCGTAGAGTGTAATTAATATGAAGAATTGGTGAAATTTTAATGAGTTCTCTGCAAGCAAGGGAAGCCCGGGCTCTTTTAAGCGGCAGGCTATGGGCTTCTCTTGTAATTCTCTGGCTGACTGCACAGAACACAGCTGTACCTACAACACCCACACTGTGTTTCTCTCCCTCTCCATTTCTCTGCTTTTCATCTGTTTTCAAGCTACTCGTTCAGCCTTCACTGGGGCTCGCTTTTTCAGCTCACTTTCGACCAATGGCCATTACACCTCCCATACTGCATTTTTTTTTTTGCAAGCCTCATTGCTTGTCGTCTCTACCCCTGTACTCATTTACTCGTGCAATGAGACTTTTTTTTTTCTTTTACCATTACCTCTTTCCACACTTTTTTTTTACATCCTTCACAAGTCTTTGAAAAAAGTCAAGCAAACAGAAATGTGTTCAGTGAAATAACATACTCTGTTACAATCCCCTTTGTTTATTAGAAGCATAGTCATCTGTCAATCCCAGTACACAAAAGCTGCTCTTTTGAATTACCAGGTGCACCGCAAAATGTGCTGAAGTCAGAGCTTTTAAGCCAAGTTGAATAAGGTTTTCCTTGGGCTCCACTTTAAAGGTGCATTTAGCATAAACAGATTTTTAAAGACTGCACTCTTATAGTTTTACAATTCTACTCTCCAAATACACACAGTTGACTGTATAATCTTTACTGTATGTAAAGTTAACTGCTAACTGTAGGTGAAGCAAATAATAGTATGTTTTGTTTTGTTCTGGACTGTTTAACCACCACCACTATTGAAAACTGCCTAAATGCTTCTACTACGATTGTCCATTTAAGCAGGAAGTCACACCCTAACACGAAACTGTGAAAATAAAAATAAAAGCCTTCTAATTTCATCTTCTTGCCTAGAAGTCGAGGTTAAACTCAAACTCCAGTGATAGCTGAAGCCTACGAATTTCAGAAAGGGAGTGGGGAAAATCACTCGGGTTCAGAATCCGATACTAAATGTGCAACCATGTACCGATATAAGGACATCAATTATCGATCCTGCATTGTATAAATTATCAAGTCAAAGTCAAAGTCATCTTTATTGTCAATTTTTCAAACATGTGCTGGACATACAGAAAAATAAAAAAATAAATGTTCTCTCTGAACCACGGTGCAAGCTAAGTATAAAAAGATTTAAAAATATAATACAAATAACAAATATTAGGATAAAAAAGATCTTTAAAAGTTATCTTTATCGATATTTAAAAATGTAACGTTAATATCGAGGTAATGTTAATATCCTGTTTAACCACACATCTGTATCATGTGTGATGTCGTCTATGGAGGGAGGAGAATGAAAGTCCTGTTTCTACTCAGGCTCTCATTGGCTGTGGTAGCCTAGAACCAGTGAATGCAAGGTCCTGATTGGTCAATCCAAAGATCAGAGTACATGAATTAGTACAAAGAATACAGTTGAAAATGGAGAACAGCGGAGGATGTTTTGAATCAATCAATGGATCTTTATGGGTGTAATGCGTTTGGATTACATCTTTGACTGGCTTTTGAACGTGGGGACCCTTGTTGATGCAGCAGGACTGTTTTTGTTGAAATATTAGGACGTATAATACAGTTAGACCTTCATATTGTAAAAAACGAAGAACGAGTAAGACTTGTTTGTTTTTGGTTGGTCTGACAGGTGCCTAGATTGTGACTGCTGTGTTGGTTGGATCTTAATAGGGTTTACATGGTCGGAATCACAGGAATCGTAGAGTTCTCACGACGTATGGCATGAGTGATACACAGCAGCTGTGTCAATAACGGCGATAATGAGAAAGCGCACTGACAGCTACATCAGGCTGTGGCAACGCTTCTGCCCTCGATAACTCAACACTCTGTTCTTTTGAGTATTTGCTTTGTCTATGAAAGTGACTGCTTGTTGCACACTTTAACACAGAGGTGAGAGATCGTCTACAAGAAGAAAAAAGGTACACAACCTATATTTCTTTCTCCCTCCTCATGCTCTCATCACATGTCTCCCTTTAGTGTTCTTCTTTGGAGCTGCATTATTATTCTTGCAATCCTCTTGAATGAAAGACGTTGCAGCTGACTGAATCAGTTGTGGAGATATGGAGAATACAGAGAGGTCTATTCCACACAATGATGGTGATGATTACAGTAAACATTCTCTGATCCAGTCTGCCCACCACACTGCACTTCATCGGGCTTGAAAAGAAGCAACATAATGATGGAAGAGGAAATATGTAATTATTAACTCTTTTCAAATGTGTTTCCTCTTTACCTCACTGGTTCGCTTCTTACACGGAAATGAAACTATATATTTATAACTGAAAAGATATGTTTTTTTACGACTTTGCTCCTGGGTTACCTCTGATTATTGGAAAATACATGTTATATCTCTATCTGTGCAACAGCTTTCAAAACTGTTATTATACAGTGTTTCCCAAACAAATACAAAACATAAAGGTTAAAAGTAAAGAGGTACATAATGCATATATAAGTAGCATATGATAGACAAAATAAGTCAGTGCATTTTCTAGTCCACCTATCTCTAGTATGCTATTTCAAAGGGTAGGAGCCCTACCATCAAAACCATGTCACATACTGTTCTCAGCCTTGTCATGGGGATGTAACAGGGTCTCTTTCAGTGGGATCTCGAGCTAAGTGCTACTACAGTAAATGTTTCTGTGGCCTTCAAAAACAATGCTGATTATGCTTTGATAGGGGATTCTAAAAAAAAACAATCTGGAAAGTTTCTCTAAAGTCTAAAGCAGACATATTGAATGAAGGCGTATTTTCTTTTTTTCTTTTTTTCTTTTAGCTTGAGATTATAAAACAAGTAACTCAAAAGCTGAAAAAAACAATACAAGTCCTGAGAAAAACACACCAAAACACAGCTTAATGCATGATTACAGAGCCATGTTCTGTTCATATTTACCACACATGATACATGATGTGTTATGAACAATGAGAGTGAAGGTGACATCAACTGACTCATGCACTCTTCTAAATGTTTGCATCCGTAAATCTCAAGTGGTTGCCATGCCAAGGATTAAAGTTGAGTGTGTGTGTGTGTGTGTGTGTGTGTGTGTGTGTGTGTGTGTGTGTGTGTGCATCTGCATCTGTGGTTGCATGCACGCCACATATAGGTCAAAGCCTTCATAACACTAATACAGAGAAACAGAAGATGTGATAGGACAATGCCAGTGTGTGTGTTTGTGTGTGTGTGTGTGTGTGTGTGTGTGTGTGTGTGTGTGTGTTATCAGCATCATCATTGGACAATGCATGTTGTGTGTGCACGTATGTGTGTGTTAGCAGCAGCTTCAAATGGACTGTGACTCACAGAGTTAAGTAAGAGGTCACAAGCATGTTGAAATCACTCCTTCAACCTGTGTGTGTGTGTGTGTGTGTGTGTATGTGTGTATGTGTGTGTGTGTGTGTGTGTGTGTGTGTGTGTGTGTGTGTGTGTGCGTGTGTGTGTGTGTGCATTTTATGTATGATACTCACATCTGTCCTACTTTCTCTGATGGTGTCGGACCATGCATGCTGAGACAAAGCCTTCGCATCATCCTATTAACGTACAGCGCAGGCTCAACAACACTCCTCTAGCCTTCTCTGTGTACATGCGTGTATTCATGCCAGCACTCACTCATTTACATGAACAGACTAGATGTGTACACACACAGGTGGATTTGGGGTAGAATGAGGATGAGTACTCACAGCGTTCATGTCGATGCCGTTGGTGTAGGACCAGGCGTGCTGGAAGTACTCCTCCAGCCTCTGCCTGAGCGGGTTGGGGATCTGGTGGAAGCGGATGAACTCTCTGACTCTCAGCATCTGGGTGTGGTAGCGGGCCGTTCCAGAGTACAGCCGCTGGATGATGGCTGACACATTCCCAAAGATACTGGCGTACATCAGGGCTGGAGGTGGGAGACAGGCAAAGGGTGAGGACGAGATATGACGGAGGGTTTTGGATTTTGAAGGGTTACAAAGAGGGCACAAAAGAAGAATACAGGTAATGAGACAAAAAGTATACACACTAGAGGTATAGAGTAAGCAGGAGTATTGGGACACAGGCTCCCATGACACACCGATATGAGCGGACATGTTTCTCTGACAATGAGAAGAAGGGAAAGTTAGGTACCACCACAGTGAAATCTGTTTTTCCCCAGTTCAGTTCTGACTTTTGGAACAGACAGCCAGAAAAGGTCCTGGGATCGAAGATTATAAGTCCCTGAACTCTTCTGACTGATGCAGGTCAGAAGGTATGAAGGAAGATAAGAATACTCCAGTGTTTAAAACTGCGTTTGTTTAAAATAAGTCCGTCCAACACATGCAAACAACAAACAGTGATGAGTGACGGATTTAAAGTTAGTGAAGAACCTCAGAGCTATATGATATACAGTGTTCAGAGCATGTACGCTTTGAGATGAGTAATGCATGTATAAAACATCACCGTAGTCCAGCACAAACATAAAAGTGGCAACAACCAGCCTCTTCTTAGATTCATAAGAAATGTGTGATAGTGCACTCTCTAAAGGGAGTCATATTCCACAACTTCCAAAAAGGGAAGACAGCCATGATCTCACTCACAGACTAACTGACTAAAATTAAATTTGTGTCTAGAAGTAATTTAAATATTATTACACTTTTATTTCTATGGACAAAGATGGAATTGCCCACTCTGGGAGACTTAATCTTTATAGGATTCAGACTTTATTTCTCAGTCTGTGGAGGACACACAGGAGCTTCAGCACAGTCTAACTTTTGAACTAAGTCAGCCGAGTGCTGCACTTAAGTGTTCTGTATGGACAGGATGAACGATTACACCCACAGTGTATTGTATTAGAGGACTGGCTCACATTTTTTTTCCAGTCTACTGAAATAAAAACATTTTCCTGACATCCTTTACTGTGCAAGTAAAGGATGAAACTTCAGTCCTCTCTCTGTGTAAAAAGGTTTAAAAGTTCAGTTTGTTTTTTGAGCAACAGCAAAAAATATATATTTTCTTATTTTGCAAAAACAGTTTGCCTTTAATATTTATTTGAATTGTTACACTTACTCCTCATAAAGTTTTAAAGCAATTTTACTCTAAACAGGTGCTGCATATATATTTCCCTCAGATCCTCGTAAAAATAGGTTTTATGGTGGGCAGTACTGTACTGTGTCCAAAGACTTTACCTGTGTTGGTATCCACTCTGATCCTGTATTTGATCATGCCTTTAAAGCCCTCTATTTCAGAACAGGCTGTTTCTGTGTCTGTAGCTTTAAATGCAAATGAGCTGTGTCTGACCACGCCCCCTCTCTGGAAGGGCTTGGGTAGCTTGTGCTTTCTTGCAAGCCCAATGGTTTACGGTGAGAAGGCAGACTCAGAGGGCAGAACAAACAACCAGCCATTGCCCCCTTCCACCACCACCACCCGGGGCTCCCTTTGTGATGTCATGAAGGGAAATTCTCAAAGTGGCCTGTTTCAGCACACATTTTCTGAAAAGTGGAGCAGGCAAAAGATGAAGACGATGGACTAGGGGACACATATTAGTGTTAGAAAAACATGGTAAAGTTCATTTTGCATAATAAGTAACCTTTAAGACATATAAAAACATGTCTGGTTTGAAATGTTTAGATGTAATTGATATCATTGCAACATTTACAACAGCCCCAATTGCCCAATTAAGTAACATTCAAATTGCAAATAAAGTCCATTATCAATATAATAGAAGATAGCAAACACAAGATTACACATACTGTAAGTGTTCAACTCACTTATTTAACATGTTGGATTTTTTTCCCCATTGCTCACAAAAGAATAATTTTGTTTGTACAATCGTTTTTTTTATAACCTGAGTCCTCTGTAGAACAGATTGACCATTCTAAACAGTTTTGCCTTCAGAAGACAGGGTGTTTCTTGTTGTATCCTTCGTGGTCCCTCCCTGTTTTGTCCTTTTGTCATGTTGGATCCTGCTAACCTCCAAACCTCTGTCAGCTCCCATCACCGTCTGAAAACAGCCTTTAAAACTGCCATGTGTGAGTGTGAGAGTGTATGTCATAAAGGAAACAAATCATCTCAGACTCTAATGAAATGAAAGTTTTATGAAGCCCATTGCAATTTCATAACAGAATATTGTGTTTCAATAATGGAGATTTTACAAGCCTGAGGTTGTATTTTGTTGGCAAAGTAAGCACCAAAATTTTCAGGAGGAGGGACAAAGCCAAAACTAAAACTAAAAACAGAAAAAGGTCCTGTTGAATAAGAGCCTCCGAGTCTTTGATTTGTGCAAATACAGTTAAATCATATTTCATTTTTAATTTATTCCATTGGAAAAAACCAAATGATGAATTCCTGCAAGCTTTAAACCAGCTAAACCAGATAGTGAACTACTTCTAAATGTCAAATTTAAATCCTCATCCTATGATTTGTCTGAATACGGGGTCCAGGGCTCTGCCAGTGTGCATCAGTAATTACTTTTTTCCAGAGGAAGTTGAGTTGATAAGGTTGAGAGGGGATTTTACTGATGGATTTTATTATTAAATCATTAGGAGATACGCATTCAGAGTGAATAGGATGATCTCAAGCTCTGTCCAGCGAGTGCAACTATCAGAGAACTAAATATGATGAAAGAAAACACACATCTTCTTAAACTTCCACAATCACAAATTGGCTATAGATGGTGCAAAGTTATTCCTCCTGAGGTGACTGCAGTCTGCAGAAAGGAGCTGGAAGATGAGCTTTTACACAATGGATATGCCTTTAAATTATGTGAATGGTGTGACAATATCCTGACTGAAATTGTGCAATACTGCAATTCCTTTCCGTCAAATGTTGCTGTATTGAATACTTTATAGTGTGGTGCATTGGGTTTGAAGGTAGAGGATATTGCTATAGAGTTAAAGGAAGGGCAGAAATTAAGTACATTCAGAACAATCAGTTAAGTTTGAGTAAAGGATTTGAGGTGTGTCAATTGCTTAATTTCAGCCTGCTGTTATTGCAATCCAATTGTTTCTAACACTGTATAACCCTTTTTTTTTTCAACACTCTCTCCCGTCCAGGTCTGAAGCCAAAGAGTTAAAGTGTTCATTGACCAAGAATAATAATAGTACTTACATCCTATGAGCATGACACAGATGGAGAAGATCTTCTCAGAGTTGGTGTTTGGCGACACATTTCCAAAGCCCACGCTGGTCAGACTGCTGAAGGTGAAGTACAGAGCAGTGACATACTTGTCTTTGATGGAGGGTCCTGAACCTGAGGGTGAAAACAATATAATTGTAATATAATATAAGTACTATATATGCATAATATTTGAAAAATAATCAGCTCTAAATGTAAATGATCAAGTGTTTTAGAGAAAATAAACTCTTCGAAACATGCCTTTTAGGTTTATGTAGACACTTAAAAGGGTTAAATGTATTAAGCCATATGTCAACCTATTAGAATATTCTCTCTCTGCTGTTGCTAGGCAGAAAATGCTTAACTTCCAGCTCTGTGATTGGTGGTCCAGTTATGAAATTACAGTGGGCCCATTTAACGTAATTCAGTGACAGAACAGTTTCAAGGGCCAATGGGGAAGAGGGCAACGGTTCAAGAGCCACGTACCTGGTACAGAGTCGTTGAAGTGTTTCCCCAATTGGTCCCCCAGAGTGTGGAGCCAACCAATGGAACCATTTCTCTCTACACTACCAATGGCATACCTGGAAAAACAATAAACAGTGATATGGTTATACCGTATATCAATACAGAGGTTAGTAATACCAGGACAAGCACAAAGAAAAGTAAACTCAACAGATTGTTTTGCCACTTTATACAATTGGATCGACAAACTTAATATATTTTTAAAGAACTCCATGTATTATATTTATATTGTAATATTACTTAATGGATAATGATATTTCTGTTGTATGCAGACGAAAAAGGACGATCAGATTATTGGACAGTTTGACGCCACTGTACCATATGCAGGCCAGCCAATGAGCGATGAGGGCAAAGGTGCACATGAGGAGAAAGAGGACGGCTGCACCGTACTCCGAGTAGCGGTCCAGCTTCCTGGCTACTCGCACCAACCGCAGGAGACGAGCCGTTTTCAGCAGACCAATCAGAGTGGTGGTCTGTAGGGGAGGAAAAAGTCCAGATAAGGTATTGTAAAGCATGGCAGAAAAACAAAGTGGCTCTGGTATCACCTCGATGCATTCCAACCTGCTGTCATCTTATCACACACTCACATTTACACGCACGCACGCACGCACGCACGCACACACACACACACACACACACACAGGTGGTGGAGCCTTGTCCATGTTCGATGTGATTCACTGCTGTGGAGGAGGTAAATCCTCACTCCCTTTTTATTTCTGTGGGCCGCATGTGTATTCAGCTGGCCCCCTCCTTGTCCATACAACAAATAAATAACAGGCCGATTACTGCACTGGCAGAGAGCCTAGTTGTGTGTGTGTGTGTGTGTGTGTGTGTGTGTGTGTGTGAGTCTGTATGTATATGTGTGTGTGTCCTCACAGTAAATAATAGCTGTCTGCTGAGGAAAATCTCTACTTTCTTGGCTCTGCGGCCTTACACGGACAGCGTCAATGAAGTGAAACTTGGCAAAGCCGAGTGTTGGGGAACTTCCACATTCATCCGGTTTGCCTTAGTAGGTGGCTTGATTACATTTTATTAGTTTGTCATTACTCACATGCTCCCCATTATTTCTAAGTATATGTCAATTGTTGCGCACTCTTTCAATCATGCAGCGCTGAGCAGTTGGGAGGGCCGATTCCATGTCTTTATCTCTCCTGGTTTTCATCCTCATTACGTGGGAAGTATCATCAGAAGGCTCAAGCAGCGAGCAAGTGTAACTCGTTTTCTTCTCCCTCTTCATCTAACTCCCACCTCTTCCTCCAAACATCAACCTCCCACAACATTAAATTCTCCAACCAACACCTCAATCACTTCACTCTTCTATCATTTTGAAAACCATAGCACCTATAATCACCTGCCTCAAGACTTCAGAGGAAAATGAGCTTCTTTGCCAACTCTAGCTCATTTACTTTGACGTAGATTGAACTCTAGTGTACCAGCGCTGAAACTTATTAAATAAAAATGAGTCTTTATGGACTTTGTAAATGAAGTTCAGTTTTGATTGCCCGAGTGGGAATTAGTGTTGTAGCACTTGAAATCAGCCACTTTTTGACAGTCTCAGTCTCGTTCGGAATAGAAAGCATTTTTTTTTTCGATCTTGTCTCTGGATTGTAAATCAAGACGGTCAATACCACAACTGATAGGCTATTTTTCCACATCATTACTCTGATTCAGAGGAAAACGTCCCTTTCTAAAATAAATAATAACTTTAATTTATTCATAAGTCATCATTCATCAGATTTTTATCCCCAGGGTACGGGTGTCTCAGTGAGTGACACGCCGATGCACACAAAGTGATGATTTTCCAGGGATATTTATGGTCTTGGTCTTGTCTCGGTCTCAGTTAGTGTGGTCTTGACTACAAGCAACACTTGTAATATGAAGATCAACTTCATTAACTTTTTTAGACCTAGGTGTAACGCAGGGATCTTCACACTACGAGGGTTGCTGGAGTTTTTTGACAACTCTGAAAGCTTCCGATTTAAAAAAAAAAGTTGTCATCAGATTTATTAAAGTTTGAGCTTGAGGCATTATGTTACAGAGTGCTTGCATTATAAACAGGAGGCATAGGCATTTACAATGAAGGGGAGACCTTATCTCGGGAATAGCTTTCAGGCTGCATCATGGGAAATGTAGGCATTCAGGATTTTTGGACCACTTATACACAGGTTGGAACACTTAAATGTGCAAATCTGTAATTTTAGAGTAATTCTATAGGTAATACATTTTCCACAAGATTTCACATACTAACCTGCAGATAACTAACACTACATGCCCCAGAGTGTCTGGATGTCTGCGTATAACACACGCTCTGAAGTTTCCTTACAAAATTCCAGTTATGAAACAAAAAGTAACATAAACGTCATGTTCACTCTGCTAACAATCCCAAAATGCAATGCTTCAAACCATAATGATGTGAAAATTACCCATGTGCCACTCCACATTTGTCAGTGATGATGACGCAAAATGATGATGAGTCATAATTGTCTCAATTAACCGCTCAATTCATCGACAACCTGTGAGTGTTTTATAGAAGGAGCAGTGATTGAGTGAAGAGGGGGTGTCTGATAATTACAGGAGTTTTTTTTTTTTTCTCTGAAAGTATGGACCTGAAAGGTAAAGCAGCATGAGAAAAAAAAAATCCCTGAAACTAAGGTCCTTCTTGGAAACCCCAATGATCACAGCTCAATTATTTAATGAGGATCTGTTGAAGAAGAAGATGCTTATATGAAGAAGCATGCACGTTTGGTTCTTTCCCTTATCAGCTCGTGTCCTGTCATTGCAATATGTGTCAAAAAAATAATTAAACAACTTTGTTTGATTTGAGGCAGACACATTTCTTTTGACGCTCCACTGCAGGTGGCTGCAGTCAGCTTCCCTGTGGAGACAATTAAATTACGAAACAAGTAGTAAACCCACCTCCGCCTCTCTTTTCTTCTTCTCTTATTCCCTGTCTCCGTTACTGTGCAGCCCTCCTCTCTGTTTTTACCTTTCTCTTTCTAATCCCTTCCATTCCATCGGACTGCCACCAAAACATTTCATTCCTGTTCTTCTAATCCCTCCGTCTGTCTTCCACTTGTCTTTTCCTCCCTCACACCTCTTCACAGGTATATAAACAGCCTACCGTCTATCTCTCTCTCTCTCTCTCTCTCCCCTTCACACCGTACCTCCTCTCCGCTGCGGTAAATGAGCAGGTCAAAGGGGATGGCGGCCACCATGTCGATGAGGAACCAGCCTTTGAAGTAGTGGACAGCGATTCGCACCGGATGGCTCACCACCTCATCATTAGTGTTCACGTATGTCGTCCTGAGTGGAAGAAAGAAAATGATATTCAAATATATGGCTAATACTGTGAAACAAACTTTTTGTACCATTTACCTCAAGTATTAATTAATACTACAATGATCCTTTTTTTTGTTTTAACCTCTGTCTCAAAACAAAAGTCCCTTTAGATTGAAAACTCTTCCATAGGGAGACCTTGCCAAGACAGCATGGAAAAAGAGCTTTCCCATATCTTCCATGTAATTAAACCCCTTGTTGTGCAAATGCAAAGAAGAATTCTATCTGTGAACTGTGAACAATCAACCTTCAAATTAAAACTGAGCCCCTGTACTATACACCATCCAGCCGTTGTCTTCCTCTTATCCAAGGTCAGGTTGTGGTGGAAGCAAGCGCAGTAAGTCCACCCAGACTTCCCTCCCCATCTTTTCCAGCTCCTCCTGGGGGATCCCGAGGCTTTCCCAGGCTAGCCCAGATATATAATCCCACCAGCTAACTCTGGGTCTGCCCGGGGTTTCCTCCCAGTTGGGCATGCCCATAAAACCTCCTAAGGGAAGTGTCCATGAGGCATCCAAATCAAATGCCAGAACCACTTCAACTGGCTCCTTTCCATGCAAAGGAGCAGCGGCTCTTACTCCGAGCTCCCTCCAAATGTCTGAGCTCCTCACCCTATCTCTAAAGCTGGGTCCGGACACCCTCTGGGGGAAACTCCGCTTGTATCCGCGATCTTATTCTTTCGGTCACTTCCCACAGCTCATGATCATAGGTGAGGGTTGGAACGAAGATCTAGCAGTAAATCGAGAGCTTTGCCTTCAGGCTCAGCTCCCTCTCTTTAACACAACGGTCCGTCACAACGAGTGCATTATCGCTGATGCTGAGCCAATCCGTCTGTCTATCGCACGGTCCATCCTACCCTCACTCGAGACCTCAAGATACTTAAACGCCTTCACATGGGGCAAGGACTCACTCCCCACCAGGAGAGAGCAATTTAATGTTTCCCAGCAGAGAACCATGGCAGGGTGAGCACCTCCAAGTCCCTGCACGATTTGATAATTAAATAATAATGAATCAAAACAGAAGAGGAACTGCACACAATGAAAATATTGTATCCAGCTCTGATAAATTGTATTTGTGATTCTCAGGTTCTCCTAACAACCAGGCCTAATAACAGATAAATGAGGACAAAGCACCCAATTTGGAAAATAGACATGCAGATTATTGTGTATTTCAATTGATTAGTTTCACTGCTGCTGCTGTTATTTCTATTACAACAAAGACACTGCTGCTAAACTATGACTATTGTTTCAAATAACACAACTACTAATACGCCTCATATTCATATCAGACCTGAAGTTGATGAGGATGTCAATAATGAACATGATGTCCACTATGAGGTCGACCACATTGAGAGGAGAGCAGGAGTAACCACAGCTCTGCATGGCTACCTCCTCCTGACACAGAGAGAGAGACATTAATAGAGAAGAGAAAGAAGACGATGCACATTTTAGTCTAATGCTTTAAAAATAGAACAGTTGTGTGTGATCCGTTAAATGGATTAGCATAGAGGGTGTTAGGGTAATTTGCATATGTTTGTAGACAAATTGAAACAAAACCAGGATGCAAGGCTCGTGAGACGCTACGGTGCTTCAACACACAAGTCAAGAGTAAAGAGGGGTGAATATCTTGAAATAAACTACGCCTATCAAGTTCAATGCAGCGCCAGTGAAATGTTTAATATTACTTTATTTGTCACTTACGTAGCATTCATTGAGGATATTCTACTCTGATCATTGTTGTGGAAATAACATCAATACACACATTATATGTCCTGACTGCGTTACCAATAAAACAGTGTAAATATGAAAACTCTGCAGACTTAAATCTTCAAAATAACTTAGAGCTGAAAGCATGTTCAGCGCAAAGGCGATTAGCTAAAAGTTCACCTAAACCACAAAATGAAACAGTTTTGCTGCCTGTGTGACAGTATTTAGAGAAAAAGAAGGAAAAAAAACCCACAGTGATTCTGTTTGAGTGTAATTATTATGTAATCATTTTTACAAGTTTCAAGACAGAAAAGCCATTTACAAGTGCTTCAGTGTCTGCGTGAGCTTTTTGGCTAACGGTGACATGGAGGGAGGATGTGTGAATATATGCAGTGTGTGTGTTTGTATGTTGATTGTTACTTATCCAGCATGTGGGAAAAGTGTTGTCGAACTTGTAAAAGAAAAAGCTGAGCTCTAAAATTGGGGGCGGCTGTGGCTCAGTCGGTTGTCTTGTAGCGGGAATGGATCCCCAGCTCCTCCTGCAGCCACATGTTGGCAGGACACTTAACCCCAAGTTGCTCCACTGCTACATCAACGGCGTGTGAATGTGTATGAATGGGATAACACTGATGCAAACTTTACATAGCAACCTCTGCGATCAGTGTGTGAATGGGTTAGTGTGACCTGTGGTCCATTTACCATCCCATTTCAAATATTATTGAGTGTTTCCTGTTTTGATAAAGTAACATCTGAACTAATCTAGACAAGATTTAAGTATCATGATTAAGTTTTGAAGTCCTTGGAACCATTTGTTTTAGTGACTACTAGGCTATATACGTGAATGATTCAAAACCTGGATAAGAGCTCACCTGGTCGTTGAGGAGGAATGCGGCTGAGTAGGGCGTCAGGATGGCGGTGTAGATGACCAGCAGCAGGATGAGCCAGTCCCACACCGCCTTGAAGGGGCTGTAGTGCAACACCGTCCACTTGTGGATGCGAGGCGCCTGGAGCTTGTACTCTGGCAACACATCTGCACCCAGAGACAGCACCTGGGGATAGAGAGGGGGACAAAAGGGCCATCAGACACTGAATCGTAATTGAGGCAGGGGTTGTGGCAAGGGCGAAGATGACAAAATGAGGAGCGGTGAGAAAAATAGACACTTTGAGACTTGCATGAAAACACATACTCATGCACACTGACATTTTCAGAGAGCCTGCGTGCTTATATCTGCTTCATGAAATATACATCGACTTATATGACATGTGCTGCGCTTACACAGCAGCTACAACAACAGCATTTTGCAATTAAAGCGATAGAGCCAGTGTCCACTGAAGATGATGAGAGCTGTTCTGAAGGCACTGACCCTCTTAAGGTTACCCTCCCAGGCAACTTTACACACACACACACACACACACACACACACTGCCCCCAACATACACACACACACACACGCACACAGAGTCGTTCCAGATATGTAAATAAATCATAATGCATAGATGTATGCACATGCTCGCACACTTAGCTACCATAACTCTCGTCACATCACTTCTCTTTCGATACAAGTGGCTCTGACAAGAGGGCTTTGACTCAAAAATGACAAGTGACAGGGCACCACATTTAACCATATTCCAAACACATATACACAGACACTCACGTGTATCCTAGTCCTCTGTCTTCTGCCTCACACACAAACACATCAGCACACAAACACACCCCAGGAATGAATTCTTGGGTATTATGGAGCAATTCTAAGTGGCTTTACTCGCAGTAATGTATTCCACCGTCTGCACTGCACTCGGCCTGTACGAGAGCGGGGATGAATCAGTATAAATAAGAATTAGCACAGGCTGCCTTGTGTGTCTCTGTTTAATAGAATCACACAGTGAACTGCAGAAGCCCGGCTGCTGTGCTCAAAGTAAAAGGAGAGAAAAAAATAGTGAGCATTAGGGAGTTCCCACTTACTTTCATTGTGTACCTTACTCACACCAAAAAATGCATCAATTTATACACTGATAAACAGTGTAACAACTGTTAGTAGTACAACTACAGTGCCACCTGACATGTGCAGAAACCAGTTACTCCTAGTAACTGTGTGCCTGGCTTTTAAGGAAATTAACAAACTCCTGCTTTGGTTGTTTTCTGGATTTGACATCAGTCAGAAGTGGACCTAATTTATAGCTGAGTTAAGCATATGTCTTGGCCTGACTGTTTCATTTAAGCTCTAAGTATGTGTTGATTTTGAAGCCCACTGTGGACAAACCTGTGTTTGCAGACCTTTTCCTGCATGCATAGGCAGTGTTTTCTGAAAAAAAATTCCATCCTGCTTCTTTTTAACTGTCAAACATATCACTCTTTGAGAATCTTTGCAGTGCACAGTGAGAGCAAAAAGCTGATTTGGCAGCATGCTATATATCACCTCATCCAACACTTACCCAATGGCAGTGATTACAGTTTTTAGAAACAGCTACATAGAAATAATAACAGGTTATATAGAGGCATCGGTATTCATTTCAGGCTGTCTACCAGGAGCTTTATTTTGTTTGTTCATAAAAAAATAGCTTGGTTGCTGAATCTGTATCAGCTATTCCCCACGCAAAAACTGAACTCCGGGTAAATGAATGGCTGTCAAAGAATAATCAGCTTTAAATTGTAGAATACTTAAATAAGGAGAACAAGAAAACATAGTTACATTATCTGGTGGCACTTCTCCAACAACTTGACCAAATTCCATAGGACTGTAACAGGACTAGAACCAACAACCCTCCAGCTCCCAACGCAAGTCACTACAAACTGAACTACTGCGTCAGAGACAACGACGCCATTAGCTGTAGAGGTGGGAAAAAAAATGTGTTTTATGTTAAAATCGAGATTCTTATCTTCTGAGATTTTAAATGGATTCATAACTTCCAAAAATCGAATGCCAAATGGAGCAGCAATAAATTCAGCCAGTCTCACAGATGACTGGAGTAGATCCTGAAGTATGTACTCATTCAAAAATACACTCTGAATCCATGGATCCAGAATCGTTTAAAATGGAAAATAGATTCTGAATCGAATCGTGAGCCCAAGAATCGAAATCGAATCGTAAGACAGCCAAAGATTCACAGTCCTAATTAGCAGTCAAATAAATAGTTGTAGTACAGCAACTTATACATCGCTGTTGTTTTCCTGTTTGATCCAGACCTAATCATTCTGTTGTTTACAAAAAGCATGCACCCTGTTGATGCCTGTGTCAAGTTGTTATGGATTGTATTGATACACACAGCTAAACTGCTGCTGTTCAAAATGCAGATGTGGGAACAGGTGGAAAACACTGTGTATTCTCTGAATTGGGAAAGCATAAAACTGACGTAGGTCTAAACTAACATCCATCAAAATTAAGCATTTTTAAATTGCAGAGCCATTATGCATTGTAATAAGGCAGATGTGTCAGACAGCGCTTTTTGCACTGGCAGCACCCATTTTCAAAACAAAACCCATGTAGTTCAGTTTTTTCAGCATCCAGAGAGCAAAAATGTTCCAGCAGCAGATATATATTTTTTTTTTATCTCTGTGCTCACAGCACTTTTGGTTGAAAACAGTGCAACTTTTGGAACAGCGCCACACTCGTCAATGTCCCTTCTCCCTCACTGACTGATGAAATAACAAGAAGGGGCAAGACTTCTGATATCAGTTTTGTCAACAACAATGATGGAGGAGAAACTAATACAACCTTTTTTTTTTTTTCTCGAGGATACAATATCTAGAGATTCTGCTAATGCCAGGACAGGTTTTCTTTACATTGTTGTCATGCTTTCTTTGTGAAAAAACAAAAAAAAATATTAAGCAGATGAGCTATTTATAACACACCTACTGTTACGCTCAATAACGAGGGAAGTTCATTTTCGTTACCTAGCTCTGGAAGAAAACACAATCTTTTTATTACATTTGTTTTGCAAAAAATCTCAAATTAAAATATGACAGTTATTCCCAAAATGTTTCAAATTTGTCAAGCTTTTTCTCTGCATCAGCAGCACTTCAGTGATTCCTTTTAATGTTGTTTAGTCACACATTTCACCTCCTTAAAAGACTGCAGCCTCTGTGATTGTTATAATGCACTGGTTATATTATAATATTTGATTAACTCTGCAACCCCCCCCCCCCCCCGAGTATAACTCATATTAACTCTAAACCTCCTCAGAATGTTTAACTTGTTTGTACTCTGTGAATATGAATGACATTTTTTTTTTAAAACGCCTGGAGAAGAAATTCTGCACCAATGCAGCAGACACATTTGTATGCAGGTAGAGCTGACCTCTGAGTGGACTGTGGGGCAGTGACACACACACAACAGGCAGACAGAGTTACAGCACAATCTCCAGAGGTGTGACAGTGTGTGTGTGTGCAGTGTGTAACAATCTAACTCATGCCACACTATTTAAATCATAATCTTAATTTGTTTGAGCTCCTGTTTCTTTCTACTCTCACCTTGACCTGCTATAACTTGCTTCTTTTTTATTTCATGGTTTCATCTAGTAATCCCTCCTCCCTCTTTTCTTCTTCTTCTTCACAGCCAGCAGCAGAGTCACTTTTCATTCATCCTGTTGCCCATTACCATTCATCCTGCCTCCCATCGCACCTTCCTTTCTTCTCCAACTTGAATTGTTGGTTTGTCATCCCTTAGACTCTCTCTCTCTCTCTCTCTCTTTCTCTTTTCCTTTCTGCGACTATTCTTCTTCTTTTTCTCTATCCACTTTCAATTAACTCATTCTTCTTTATTCCACCATCCCTTTCTTTTTCACTCACTTAGGCACAATAACAGACTTTATTTATGTGTTTATGGTTCAACCAATTCTAAAACATCTGGTACATGATCACGTTTTTCATCATTCTCTTTCCATCTCTTTTGGAGTTGCTCTTATAGAAACTGTGATTTGGCAGCAGAACATTCACTTGATTTATTATGAATGAGCAAGAACTATTTGACTGTATGTATGCTCTCTGTAATACAGCCAGCTGTTTCATATCTAAGCCAACTGGTGTGTTGGTGTGTTTTTTTTCCCCTTCAAAGGCTTTATTTTTTAAGTATGTATGTAATTCTGTATCCAGATCTCTGCATGCTTGTATTATCTTGACAGAGATACATTTAATAATTTAGCTTTTCTTGGAAGTTGTATGAGCTATCTCTTGGTGAATTATCAGACTTTTATCATGAGATGGTTTGAGTCAGGGTTCTTTTGATTCTTATATCTCTTCATCCTTTCCTTTGGAGAACAAAGCAAAGCTAACTGAAAAAAAAGAACAACTCCAACAGGAGACTCAGTGGGATGCCCAGGATGTTAGTCCTTCAGTAACACAATGATGTATGAGTATTTTGATCATTGACCAATAAATGCAGAAATCTTATCAGATGTTTTTTTTTTGTCAGTGTAGGGGTCCTTAAAGAGTCCAAAATGAACAAGTAATGCTCTACAGATACAAGAGTACTTGGAAGCAGAAAGTTCTGTGTTTGGTACTTTTGTCTCCCCCTTCTGGCAGTGGAAGTAACTAAACAAACACTGCTGCACATGCTCAAAACAAAATACCTCTACTTACAGCACTAAAGCACTCCATGACAAAGACTTCACTTAAAATTATCTGTGTGATTATGATGTTTTACCTACCTTCGAATGCCCATTTCTCTAGAGCACCAAAAACTTCTTCTGCACTTTTTTTGCCTACTGAGTTGCTCCCTTCATGACATCAGAAAGGGCAGTAATCCCTCCCCCAGTTGAGTAACACTCCCACAGCTACAGTAGGTGTTTGTTCTGCCCTCTGACTCTGCCCTCTCAACATAAACAATAGGGCATGGTGCAAGAAAGCCCAGGCCATGCCCCCTTCTAGAGAGGAGCAAGTCGAGCACAGCTCCTTGGCACTTAAAGGTACAGGCACAGAAACAGTCTGTTATGAATAGGGCTGAAATAGAGGGGTTTATAGACATGATCAAATACAGGATAGAAGGGGATTTTTGGCTAGAAACTTCACAGACAATTTTTGGGGAGCTCTGAGGCTTATTTAAACTTTTTGAAA